AAAAAAAAAAAGAATTATAAAAAAAGTACCTTAAAGGAGTTCTTAGTGTCATAAATGTATTACTTTAACACCATATGACTAGCAATAAATTATTACCTGGATTTTATTTATTTATTTATTTTTTTGACAATACTGGGGTTTGAACTCAGGATTTTGTGCTTGCTGGGCAGGCATTCTTCCACTTGAGCCACGACCCCAGTCAGCAATAAATTACTCAGCCTCAAACAATCAAGGTATTATCTGACACAAAGAATAAGAATAGAGGAGCATGCCACATGCATTTAACCTATGGAGATTAAACTCTATATATTCCTGGGGTCACAGAAAAGAGGGAAGAGAGAAGGTGGGAAAAGGAGAAAGAAAAAGATTAAATACATACTGTCTTCGTAAATCTGCTAATTTAGAAGTCAGAGCAGATATTTCTCCCAAGGAACGCAGAATGTCATCTCTCTCTTTCGGATCATCACACAATTCTGCTATTTTCCGAGCTTCAGCCAAAGCTCCTCGAATCTGTTCTTCTCCTTCAGGTCCACCATTCGGATCTGCAAGCCAATTCTATATACAGAAATGGAGAAGAGTAATGCAACCTACTACTCATGAATCACATTTAATTAAGCTTAACAAGCGCATCACAAATACTTCTGAAGTCATCACTTTTAGAGTGCTACTTCTTATTGTTTTACAGAGGTTGTTAGCTAAGGTAAGAGTTAATTGATTCCTCCTTCTTTTTATTTTGTTGCTGGGGTTTGAACCCAGGACCTTATCCATGCTAAGTAAGCATGCACTCTGCCACAGAGCTATTATCTCCTGTTCATTTCCATTAAAATAAACTACCATCTTCACAGGTCTTATTTCACCTTTGAATTAATCACAAACATTTTGAAGTCTCTCAAATATTTGTGTTTGTAAAATGCTTGAAAATCATTAAACATATAATATAAACAGCAAACTAACTTTTTAACACTGCTATGACCAAATATAGTTGTGATTCTAAGATAAGGAACAGTTTCAGTTTTGATTTATTAAAATCTATACCAGAACTAGGATTCTCTTGGCATTCAGAGTGCTTACTTTTGACTAGTTGAAGTATTCAAAATTAACGTCTTTATTTCAAAATATAGATGAACATTAGTCTAAACTTGTGAAGGTAGGAGAAGGGTTCATGCTGGAAACTTCTGGGAATCAGTCAATCAGCCATCACTTAGAACACCCACTATCTACCCACAGTAGGTGATGGGGGAACAGGAGGAGAGAGGGAGAGATGCGGGATATTCATAGAACACTTCTTTTTCTCCTTTATTTCCCTCCCCTCCTGAGAACCCTCAGCACGACCTGAGCAGCATCGATCTTCTTCGCAATGCTCTGCTTGGAGTTTGTCATTGCTTCCAGCTTGCGAGCTGCATTTTCCACCTTCGCTGTAAGCACATCCAGACCTTGAGACACCTGCTGGGCTTTCTGCATGGCCACTGGTGAGGTTCCTTGTCCTCTACTCAAACAGACAGATGCAGTCATTGTACCTTCTCAAATACATAATGACGAAATATTCCTAACACCACAGCACGTGTCATTTTTGTTAACATGCTTGTCTTTTTCCATTCCCCCAGTAATTTTACTACAAGAAAACAGAACTAAACAAAATAAGACACCCAAACCATCTACTTTCTCTTTTGCTTTTAGAAATATATCATATTAGCTTTATGGAACTACATAACCATTTTGGAAATCAAGCCAGCAACATTTTTTTTTTCTTGGTGGGACTGAAGCTTGAACTCAGGACTTTCTCCCTTGCCAAGCAGGCACTCTATCACTTGAGCCACACCTCCAGTCCATTTTTCCTCTGGTTATTTTGGAGATGGGGTCTCATGAACTATTTGCCTATAGTGGCCTCAAAGGGAGATTCTCCTGATCTCAGCCTCCCAAGTAGCTAGGATTATAGAAGTAAGCCACTGGCGCCTAGCAGGCCAGCAAATTTTGATAATTATTCTCCTGTTGGTGGTGATTATATAACCAAATCTAAACCTCAGTGGGAAAACGTGTTGGGGATCTTATTGCTATGGAGGCCTTTGTTACCATAGTGAAGTGTGCTTTAGAAATAAGTAGCCAATTAACTTGACTTATTTACAGGCAAATGTACATTGAAAATGTTTCAGGAGGCAGACTGAAGGTGTGGCTCAAGTGGTAAAGTACCTGCCTAGCAAGCTTGAGGCCCTGAGTTCAAACCCCAGTACCACTTCCACCCCACAAAAAAAAAAGTTTCAGGAGGGAGCGTACATCACACTGAAACCAGTTGGATTCGTGTTTGAATCCTGACATTTTGTATCCATGGGACTTTGTTTATGATGTTTAATCTCTTCAGGCTTCAGCTTTTTCTTACATATAAAAATAACTTTGAGCCAGGTGCCATGGCTCACACCTGTAATCCCAGCTACTGGGGAGGCAGAGATGGGAAGGATTGCAGACTGAGGCTGGGCCAAGCAAAAAATGTAAAACCTTATCTGAAAAATAACTAAGTCATGCTGGAGACATGCTTGACTAGCAAATGCAAAGCCCTAAATACAAACCAAGTACCACAAAAACAAAAAAAAAAGAAAAAAGAGTAACTTATAAAATGAATGTATGCAACAATACAGTACTTCCCCCCAATCTTAACAGAGTAGCTTCAAGCCTCAAGATAATATACTTGAGGACTAGAGGTGTGCTTCAGTAGAGCTTTTCCCTAGCAGAGGCCCTGGCAACCCCCACCCCACAAAAAAAAAAGTGCTACAAGTATTATAATCTACTATTATAATTGAATTATTATTCTTATTATAATGAACCTAATGATAATTTTAAATATTTATCTTCCATTCCTGGGTAACCTGTAAATAGCAAAACTAGCTAGCACTGAGGGGAAAAGCACAGGGTGACAGGGAGCTCATTACTTTCCCTCAAGTTGCTAATTTCACTATTTTTCCTCCCTCAGAAATGATATGCTACTAGCTACAAAAGAAGATTTGAGTTAGTAGAGACTTATTTTCCTTAACAGACTTTTTAAGCTCAATCGTAGGAATGGCAACTTTCTCATTTGGGAGAATGGTATGGCTCAGCTTAAGGTCAGCTTCCAACTTCAGAATGAGCTCCAAAGCATATTTGCTTCCCTTAAAAGATAATACAAATCTGCCATTCACTTATGTATCCTCTTTCTGAAATTCATTTGTTTTTCATCTATACCAATATCTCAGGCAATGAACTCCATAAATTTATGGCCAGAAGTATGAAAGGCATATCTCAAGACTTTTTCTTGGACTTGAGGCCTTCCTTTTAACCTAGCAGGAGAATGAAAGACTTTCAGGAAACATGATGACTATGATTTAATTTACTTTTTTTCCTTTAAATCTAGTAAATATGAGTCCAACTGTGATAAAGAAAAAATATGTATGGGTTACATTCAAAATAAAATGTTTATCAAATCCCATGGGGGTAACAATACATTTTACAACACAGAAAATCTTCATGACTAGAATATCAATGAAGAAATTGTTACTGTGTTTCAGCCATTAAAATAATAAATAGCAGGGTATATTTAAGAAAGAACAACAGGAAGATAGCTGTCTAATCTTTCATCATGGAAGGATACTGCAGGCTCTACTGTGAAGCAGACCCATAGCTACTCATCACTGTTCTAGCCTTTTCTCTTCACAGATTAATAGTTGATCCCATACAACAACTGCCTCATTCTCTCGCTCATATTCATCTCTCTAAACACATACAACTGTGTATTTGAGAATTCCAAGTGAAAACTGCCTACCACACTGTGAAAAGGCTGCAGACAAAAGAGCCAGAAATGAGAAATTAGAAGAGCCAAGAACCTCATCAAATGGCACTGGCATTTTTCCGAATGGGAACAAAACTTCTTTTTTTCCCTTCTGCAAAGTTCTTGTGCTCACAAGGGACACTGCTTTTCAGCAGGAAAAAGGCTCACTGAGCTCAATGAGATCACATTATTTAAGCTGCTTCTCTTTCTCTTCAAGACAAAGCCACAACCTAGAGCCCCTAGTGCTTCCAGAGCTACAACAAATCCACAAACATCCAGAAAGTATACATAATATTGTATGGACATATTCATTTGCAACTCTTTAGGTAGGTATGAATGCTTTCATCAGATTATAATAGCAATGTTGGTCCAAAAAGGTTAAGAACAACTCCTTTAAGATCTGTATGGTTAGGGCTGGTGGAGTGGCTCAAGTGGTAGAGCACTTGCCCAGCAAGTGCAAGGCCCTGAGTTCAAACCCCAGTGCCACCAAAAAAAAAAAAAAAATCCATATTCTTAAGTGTGAATACACCAAGACCAGATATAATGTTATACAACAT